TTCCCTTCACTTCACTTCACTTCACTTCTCTTTCCTTTTCTTTTCCTTCTTTCCTTTGTTCTCATGAACCATTTGGGTGTTTGGAGTATAGCTCCCTTAGAACCAAACCCTGTCCCCAGTGAAATTCAGGGCACTCTTCTGAGCGTGTGACAGAAGAAAGCTTCCCGTGAGCAGCCAGAGGGCCAAGGAACAAGTCTTAGCTCTTTATTGACTCTTGAAGCCTCTGTCATTTTACATATAAATTTGGGGAGTAGGGAGTAAATATGTTTCCAGATCAGAACCTTTTCTTCATATACGAATTTTCAAGCCCCTGTTAAATAACAGGTTGAAACAGGATAGGAAAAAGTAGGTCTGGATCTGTCACTTTGCCTCTTACAATCCATGCACCATAAGAAACCTTCTTGGGAGTCCAAAGCCCTAAATAGCTGAGCTAAGGAATCTCTTCTGAAGGTCCGTGGTACTACTGTTTTCCCTACCCTCCTAGTTAATTTTTCTCAAACACTGCCCATAATACTTCCATGAGCTATTTTTCTAGGTGACAAGCCTTCCCTCACACTCTGCACTTAGAAAACCTCCTCTTCTATATAGAAAACGCCTATCTCCTAAAACTCCCTTCCTAAAACCTAAACCGTCACCAATGGTAAAGCACCTGCTATTTCCAGGAAGAGGGCAATACTCCAGAAACCTTCTGCAGAAGCAATCTGCAGACTAATCTACCTTGGGACACTGTCTTTTTTCTTACTTTCTTTCCAAATTGTCCATCTTCACTTTAGTGCAGCTGTCTCCGGATTCATTCAAGGAGGAGAGACTAGATTTTGTGTTTGTATTGGTTTTATGTTTTAATTCGCTTAACAGCACATTAGTGTTCAGAGAAACATGTATTTTTGAATATACTATGTGCCAAGATTTATTGCTGGAAGCCTATTAAATGCAAAGTTTCTGATGTTTCTAAGAATCAGACAACAAGCAAGGAAATGTACACGGATTAGGCAGTCTAGATACTGACACGTGCTGTGAAGAACATAAATTAGAAGAGGATATCAGTGAGGGGGTAGTAGTGTATTGTTACTTGGGATCATTAAGG